ATGTGTCTCAGCTCCCTTCCTGGTAACAGGGCAGGAATGTAGTGGGAATCTCTGAGTGTATACATAGACAGGTGTTTTTTTAATCGAAAATTTAATTTAGACAATTGTAGATTTACATACAGTTGTAGGAAATAACAGAGATCCTACCTTAATGCAGTCTCCCCCTGTGATCATTTACATATATCAAAACATTGAGTTGTACATCTTAAGTATGTGCCATTTTTGTCAATTGTTGATCTTAAAAACCAAAGGAGCTATTTTTTCCCCCCCAGCAAAATGAGTTTATTTAGGAATAGCAGAGGAATTACAATTGGGGACAAGCAAATTATGGTGAACAATAAGTGAGTCTGGAGAACAGAGGGGAGGGGCTTGCTTTTATAGGGGAGAGGAGAAAGCTGGGAGGGGCTGTTTTTATTGAATTCTCATTGGCTGGGCTGTTGCAGGGCAAGGAGAAATTCTTCCCTTCTCCTGTTGGGGTATATAAAGTTTCTTTGTGGAAATATCAGCAAGGTGGTTTCCCTTAGCCTCCAGGAAATCAAGTTTGGGATACCCAGGGATCTTGATAATGGCTAAAGCAGCTGGTAAGAGTATGGCACCTAATAATTCCTGAACATAAAGACCATTTAAAATTTTGTCCCTGTTGGAAGTGAGGAGGCCTCACTGTTTCCATAGCACCCCAAAGTTATGAGTTAGTCCAAAGGCTTACCTACTATTAACATAGATATTTGCAGTTTTGTCCTTGGTTAAAAATGCAGGCCTGAGCAAAAGCATACATTTCAGCCCACTGGGCCAAGATAGCCAACAGCAAAGGTACCACCTAAATGATTTCAAAAGGAGTTGCAATGTTTACCATTTTCATCTCTTAAATAAGAACCATTGGTAAACCGTGAAAAATCAGTGTTATCCAAAGGAGTTTCCTATAAGTCATCACAAGGGGTCAGGAGAAGATCTGTCAGTGTCAAATAGTCATGAGGAGTATCATCTGTAGAGGAGGGAAGAAGGGTGGCAGGATTAAAATTATTACAGCAAGAATTATGTGAGGCATGGTTAGCAAGAGGATTTCAGAGGAGGTGAGACAACTGGCTGAATGGTGTTGAGTGTGATGGGCACTCAGGAGGGCTTCAACTCCATGGGGTACAAAGATTTTTGAGAGAGGATCCCATGACTGTCTCTTCAGTGGTCTTGACTAAAAGGGTGTTGGTAGGAACGGCTCTGAGGCAAGGGGGGGTGTCCTTGTGCCATTGGCTCTAGCTGTTGGCTATAATACCCTATGGGTCAATGGTGGGGCCCATGTTTTGGGTGAGTACCCCAAGGGTGTTCCCTTCCTCTTCAAATACAAAAAGGAAAAAGAGAAGTTGATAATTGGGATGTCCAAGAGCAGGGGGATTTACCAAACTTTCCTTTAGGGCTTTAAAAGCTAAGTTATCTTGATCTTCCCCAATAACAGGGTCAGGTTTATTGTTTTTTTAATAAAATATATAGGGGTAAAATAAAAGAAAATATAAAGGGGTTGGGCCATAAGGGATTTTGGAATCCAATTTTGACAGCAACCAGCCAGCTCAAGAAAACTTTGCGATTGGTGCTTAGTTTTGGGTTTGAGGAAGTTCAAGATGCCATGGAGCTTATTTGGATCTAAAGGTAGCCCTTGTTGTGAAATCAGGTACCCCAAATATCAAACCTGAGTGCAAGAAAATTGCAATTTCTCCTTGGAGACTTTGCATCCCACTAAGGCTAAAAGTTTTAACAGGTGGATGCCGTCTTGCTGTGAAGAGGCCTCAGAAAGGGAGCAGAGAACTAAGTCATCTACGTGTTGTAATAAAGTAGAGCCTCCAGGTAACTTATATCATCCAAATTCGCTTTTAAGGTTTGGGATAAGTAGGAAATACTTTAGGTAAAACCCTGAGGCATTACTGTCCAGGCATATTGCTTTCTTTCCCAAGTGGAGGCAGATATTGACTGGCCTTATCCACAGGGATACTAAAGAAGGTGCTACATAAATCAACCACAGTGAATATTTGCTTTCAGTGGGGATGCAGGCTAACAAAACATTGGGGCTGGAACAACAGGATGGTGAGGGATAACAATATTGTTCATGGGTCAGAGATCCTGGACAAATCTCTATCCGCGGGCTTTGGGTTTCTTCACAGGCACCGTAGGAATATCACAAGGACTAGAGCAGGGGATCAGGAGGTCCTGAGCCTTATGATCTTTTTTTATGGACTTGATGCCTTGAAAATCCTCTTAATTTATAGGGTATTGATTAATTTTGGGGAGAAAAGAATGAGTATCTCTTAGGAGGCCTAACCAAAAGGGGATAAGCTTAGAGATAGGAAGGTGTTGAGGTTTGAGACTCCCTGTGTTTGAACCATTTCAGATGGTTCAGAACCCCAGGGCAGGGGTTTAATAACAATGGTGTTGAGCACCAAGAGTGTGGCTCTGATGTCAATAAGGTATAGGGAGAGATTCATTCCCAATCTGGAGAGTTGTTTCTCCACGCTGGTTAAGAGCGGGATTGGGGAAAGTCCCTGTATTTCCTCGGAGTCCTGTGAGAGGGTGTGGGAAAGGCTGGTCAGAGGGCTGAAGACACTTGGAGCACTTTTGTAGCAATCTTTCTTGCAACGTCCTGGATTTTCCCAATAATAGCACAGGCCAGGAGGGGGTTTTATTTAGCGGACTCCCATTTGTTGGAACTGAAAACTAAGGATCTTAGTGGTCTTCCTTTTAGTTGAATTCTCAATGGTGCAGGTGAGCTGATTTGCTAAATTAACTAAATCTGGAGTGGATACAGTTTCCCATTCTATCCTGCTCCTTTTAACTAGGAGCGAAAGATACCAGTTCAGCCTATTACTAAACACAGAGTTGAAGGCTACCTGAATGGATTCTACATCCATAGGAAGGCCAGAATTTTCCTTAAAAACAATTTGTAGTTGATGGTAATCATCATGCACAGGTTCCCTGGGTTTCTGAGTGCGAGCCTGAATCTTAAATCAACAGGTTTTGGGAAAGCCTAGGGGTTGCCAGGGGGAGTCATTTAGTGATTGGTGAGCCTGATCACATAACAAGACAGGGGATTGGCCTCTTGTTTTGCAGTCCTGGAGCCTTCAGGATCATCCCAATTAGCTGCTTTCATCTAGCGTTGGCTTGGCCTTCACCAGGGAGCATGTGAGCTAGCTGGTACAAATCAGAAACCTAGTTGGTAAGTTTGAACCACTGTTAAATTCCTTGGCAGATCTATGAGGATCTTCAGTAACTCTAGGAAAATCTTTGGCCATGGCTCATAGTTCATCCTTAGTCCAGGAAAGATAGGAAATTATAGGCTTACCATTTAGGATCCTCAGAAGGTCTGATTTTATCTTACTTTATTTTATTCTTTTAAAAGATTTTATTTATTTTAGAGAGAGAGCAAGCACAAGTGGGGTCAGGAGCAGAGGGAGAAGGACAAGCAGACTCTGCACTGAGCTCAGAGCCCAACACGTGGCTGGCTCCATCCCACGGCCCTGAGATCATGACCTGAGCCAAAATCTAGAGTCACTAAACTGACTGAGCCACCCAGGCCTCCCTAGAGGGCCTAAGTTTAAAGGAACAGGTTCCAATGGGTTCAGAGGAGGAGGACATGGGGAGAGGTTTGGAAAAAATGGGAAGTTCAGTGAGAGAAGTGGAGCGTATGAAAGTGAGGATGGAGATAAAGAGGATGGGGGAGGGGAGAACAAGTCCTCAAAAGCTTGTCTTTTTTCAGTTGCTTGTTTGCCTCAGTTAACTTGGAAATGGCATTTGTAGAGAGGGGATTTTAGAGTCCTGAACACACTTGGAAGCCTCAAGATACCAGCTGAAATAGGCATCCCATTCCGTTTGTGTTTTTTAAAGCTGTGGTCTTCTAAGAAAAGCAAATTTGGGGAGATCAAAAGTGCCCCCTAATGGCCATTGGAGTTCTAAATTAATTTTGGTTAAGTTGGTCCAATTAATTTAAAATACTCTTGAGGAAGGACCATAGTTTTTAAACATAAAACCAGACTGGGCCCCAGAAGGAGGACCTTCCTGAGAGAATTTAGCAGATTCAGATGCCGTTACTCAAAACCAGAGATTCGGTAAACAGAAGAGTAGTCACCAGAAGGGGCAGTGCCTTCCCAACAACATAAAACCAGATTCCAAATACAGCTGTAGAGCTCAGCTAGAAGGAGGGAACCCTGATCTGAGAGGAGACTTGGAACCCAAAGGGAAAAGATGACTCAGGGAAGCAGAGAGTGCAAGGGGCTCAAGTGGGTGCCTCACACACTTCTAGGGGCCATTACTTACTTAGAGGTTCATCTCCTTCAGGTTCCTTTGTGGTCACCATGTAATACTGACCTTAAAAACCAAAAGGGCCAGTTATTTTACCAGCAAAATGAGTTTATTTGGGGACGGTTGAGGAACTGCTATTCAGAACAAGCCAACTATGGCAAAAAACAGGCAAGGGGGGGAGAATAGGGGAGAGGCGCTTGCTTTTATACTGGAGAGAAGGAAGCTGGGCGGGGCTGTTTTTGCTGAGTTCTCATTAGCGGGGCTGTTGCTGGGCCAGGAGAAATTCTTCCCTCCTCCTGCTGGGGCAGAACAGGCTTCTCCCTGCTGGGGAATGCCGGGTAGGCCTCTTACAGCCAGTGGTAGTGTGAGAGCGCCCCCTTCAGGGCTTCCCGACTCCATTTTTAAATGAGGTTTCCTTTATTTTCACACAATAATACCTCAATAGAGTTGAAAATTACAAATTGATAAAATGAGTATATTTTTATTTCCTTGTTTCTTCCAAGGCTGTGTTGCAAAAGCAACATGTACCCCCCTGGCTAACAATTTGATTTCTTTTGTACCATGGAACCCATATTTTGACATTATTACTGCATGCTGAGCAGAATCTTTGAAAGTCCTCTGTAGCTTAGCAGAAACATAAAAATTAATTAGAAACCTTGAATAAATACAGTTTATTTCATGGACAGACTTTTTAAGGGTGTTGAGAAGGCGTGAACTACCTGTCTATTCCGTGTCAGAAGGCATGAGTCTTCTCTTCAATCTCCTCATGGCTGACTTCATCTCTTGGTTCCTCAGAGTGTAGATCAAGGGGTTCAGCAGAGGAGAGATGACAGTAAAGGTGACAGAAATGGCTTTATCGGTGGGGAGGGTAGTGAAGGGCCGGGCATAGACATAGATGCAGGGCACAAAGTGCAGGGTCACCACAGTGATGTGGGAGGTGCAGGTGGAGATGGCTTTCCTCCTTCCCTCCCCTGCCTGAGACCTTACTACTAATAATATGACCATATATGACACCAGGAGGAAGAAAAACCACAGTGTGGTGAGCAGTCCATTATTGGAAATCATCAGCAGCTCAAGCATAAAAATGTCTGTACAGGCGAGCCTGAGGACCTGGGGGACATCACAGTAGAAAGTGTCAAGAACATTGGGTCCACAGAAGGGGAGTGGGAACAACAGGGAAATCTGTACGATGGAGTGGGTAAAGCCCCCCACCCAGGAAGCCACTATTAATCCAATGCAACGGCCTCTACTCATAATGGTCACATAGTGCAGGGGCTTGGAAATGGCCACATATCGATCCAGTGCCATTACTGACAAAGAAAATACGTCCACCCCTCCAACAAGGTGGAAGAAAAACATCTGGGTGAAGCAGCCATTGAAAGAGATGGTCTTTCTCTGTGACAGAAGGTCCACCAGAACCTTGGGAGCTGTGATGGAGGAAAAGCAGATGTCGGCAACAGATAAATTACGGAGCAGGAAGTACATAGGGGTATGAAGGCGAGGCTCATAGGTCACAGTGACCATGATGAGGAGGTTTCCCAGGAGAGTTGTCAAGTACACAAGAAGCAGGAAAAAAAATAAGACCAAGCTCAGTCCTTGACTCTGGGTTAGGCCAAGGAAAGTAAATTCTTTCACCCTGGTGTAGTTTTTCAGCTCCATTGAGTCATTTTGTTTTTCTCTTTTGTTTCAAGCTACTTCACATGAACGTACTTGGCTATTGATTTCATTTTCCTCCTAAGCACTAAGACTGCAATTCAGAATCTTGCCCATATGGCTGTAGTGTTTGCAATTTGTTGGGCTGTCCAAATTTTAAGATTGAAATCAGTTTTGTGATCAAATAAAATTACCACATGCAAAGTCATTCAATAATTCTCTTCCTATAAAACTCATTTTGGAAAGAATAAGCATGTTTCCGGCCATTGTAGACTTATAGTCTACAAGCGTAATGTTCATATTAGCAAATATTCCATTGACTTCAAGAGGGTCTTATCTTGCTAGAAAATAACGTTGTTCTGTTTCTTATTGCAGTGTTGCTGTGGCATGAGTCAGTTTCCTTTCTCTTGACTGCTTTATGTCAAATTTCTTAAATCTTCAGCCTATTATTCCATGTAGGTAACTTGTTACTGTGATTATTACTTTATACTAATCAGATTATTTGCTTGATAATCATTTTAAAATATTCAAAAATTGCTACTGGAGAACAGATTGAGACAGTGTATAAATCTAAATCTCAAAGAATCACATTAAATTTTTTTATTGTGGTAAAAACAATTAAACATGAGAGCTACCCTCTTAACAAATTTTTAGGTGCACAGTGTTTTATAGCAATTTTCTAGAACTTCTTCATCTTCTATAACTGATGTGGTCTTTGCCTGAGTGTGGGGTAAAGAATAAGGATAATGACCTGATTTTGAGAAGTGAACTATTCTGTATCCATCACACTCTTCTGCCTCTTTTTTGGATCAGAGCTAAGAGAAAGAGAGATCACCCAGCAAGGAGAGACATTAGTATCATTAGAATAATGCCTTTTTTTTTCATACACTGTTATGGGTAATTCTTACTTATTTTTATAAATTTTTATTTGTTCCACTTTGTACTTAGCAAGTGAATATTTATTGCAATCTTCATAGGTATAAGAATAAGTTGGACCACATTGTCCAAGTGTTTACACTCTAACAAAAGTGGGTGATTTGTGTAAGTTGATGAACAAAATGTATGATAAAATGTGAAATGTGTCATGAGAAAAGTGAAGGTAGATTTAGGTGGGAGAAGAGATATGGTATAGATATTATGATTTCCAGGAGCAACAAAAGCTACTACTTTGTGAGTGCTTACTATGTGTGAAGAGTTATAAAATGTTGATACATTTAATGTGCACCACTATCCTTTAGTAAATATTAATGTTATTCTTGTTTTTCATATGGAATATACTATGAGTCTACGTTTGGCTGAAGGGAAGGAAGAGATGGAAATAGGATGGAAGAAATAGAAGTTTCTTTTTTCCCCCTTCAATCTCATTTGGAGGGTCTAATTTCATATAACAAGAATGTTTGATAAAGTCTGTCCGAAGACAGGGATTTGGCAAAACGGGGCTCTGGAAACCCCATTTACATCGACCTTAGTCTGAGGTGGCTTCACTGATAAGCAACTCAAAGGATCACAACAAATATATGATGTCTTCCCTCACACTGAACGGACCTCGTTTCTGGAATCCCTTTTAACACAGCATCCCTCTTCCTGATAGTTAACACCCACCTTTGTTGTTTCTGTCTCTGGGAAGATCATTTTGGCTCTGAAGTGCTTGATACACCTGGAAAATATCAAAGTCAGACTATTTATATATAATCAAAATGACAACATGTCAGTTTCACTATGCATAATGCTAACCTTAGCTAGAAGTTTAATGTCTTGACCGAATTCCTTTGATCCTGAAATTCCAACTAAAAATTGTACACTCTTAGGTACAGTGCAGAATATTACACTTGGAGACATTAATTCTTGAAAATTTTGTTTCTGAAGGAAAGCCTTTTGGAAGACTAAATCTTAGTACCTTTGCTCTCCTTTCAAGAGAAAATGGGCAGATTCAAAGCATCACATCTTCAAGAACTTCTACTGTATCCCTGTCTTATATACAAATCCCTCAACCTCAGGCCTAATAAAAGAATTGCAAAGGGAATATTATTGGGCAAGGATGTGGAAGTCAGATGCCTGATTCTGCTGGTGGTGATGAAGGTTCAGTGGGAGTTATTAAAAAGTTACCAAGATATGCACATGTGTACACACACAGAGATGGACACATTTTGATTAATGTCCAAATTATTTAGAAGCAGTAGTGGAAATCTATCCCCTTATCCACAGCTCAATCGGAACACTGTTAAAACGTGCCAAATGCTGTGCCCAAGAGACTACAAGGGTCCAATTTTCATGGCTTGCAAGTCTCAGAGGACATTATATATAGGTTTCAATTAGATTGTCAGAAAACTACAAGAGAACTGGACCTAAAATCCTTTGCTGCCAGTTCAATTTCTAATTATACACAGGATGGTTATAGTCTCATGATGTTACTGTAAGTCCCTACATGTGGGGAAATATGACTTAGATGGTGTTTGGGGAATGCACATTTTTCCTGTTTTCCTATACTCTGCACGTGTGGTATCTTTCAATTTGGATATGGCTAGATGAGTATGTTAGTAAAGCTAACAACTACAGTAGTTACTTAGGATTAACTCAATTTATTGAATGGCTTGACTTTATATCTTCTGTTTCTACAAGGATGATGGGTTTGGATTTACCTGCTTTTCCATTTTGTTTTTGTTTTATTATATTAAACTGATCTACAAAGATGAAAACTGTATGAGACAGGTTGTATATTTGAGATAGGTAATTCCCCCCCACCCCCACTGCTTTATTGAGATATAATAACATCAGTTAAGGCTGATCCAGCCTTAAACATACACAATGATATTGTGTATATTTAAGGTATATGATGTATTGACTTGTTACATTTATATATTGCAAAATGATTATTATTGTGGTGTTAGTTAACAGCTCCATTACCTTACATAATTACTAATTCTTTTTTTGTGGTGAGATCACTTAAAATCTACTGTCTTAGCAAATTTCAAGTATATAGTATTGTTAACTATAATCACCATGCTGTACATTAGGTTCCCAAAGGTTTTTCATCCTATAAATGGTAGTTTGTATCCTTTAACTAACATCTCCCCATTTCTCCCACCCCTCAGTACCTGGAAACCACCACTTTACTCTATTTCCATGAGTTCAGGTTCCACATATAAATGAGATCATACAGTATTTCTTTCTCTGTCTGACTTATTTCACTTAGCTTAATGCCCTCAAGACCCATCCATGTTATCACAAATGGCAAGATTCCCTTCTTTTCTATGGCTGAAAATATTCCAGTGTGTGTGTGTGTGTGTGTGTGTGTATTTATTTGTATATACACATATTTATCCATTTATACAATGGACACTTAGATTGTTTTCCTGTGTTGGATATTGTAAACAATGCTGCAATAAACATGGGAGTGCTGATACTTCTTTGAGATCTTGATTTTATTTCCTTTGGATATGTACCCAGAGATGGGATTGCTGGATCGTATGGTAGTTCTATTTTTAATTTTTTGAGGAATCTCTATACTGTTTTCAATAGTGGCTGATCCAGTTTATATTTCCACTGACAGTGCATAAGGGTTTCCTTTTCTTCACATCCTTGCCAACACTTATCTCTTGTCTTTTTGATGATAGCCATCCTGACAGGTGTTGAGTGATGTCTCATTGTGGTTTTAATTAGCACTTCTCTGATGTTTAGTGATGTTGAGCACTTTTCATGTATTTGTTGGCCATCTGTATGTCTTGTTTGGAACAGTGTCTTCAGTTCCTCTGCCATTTTTAAATCAGACTGGTTTTTTTGCTGTTGAGTTGTATGAATTCTTTATATATTTTACATATTAGCCCTATATGATTTGCAAATACTTTTTTCCCATTCTATATGTTGTTTTCTTCATTTGTTAATTGTTTCTTTTGCTATGCAGAAGTTTTATAATAACATCAGTTAAGGCTGATCCAGTCCCATTTATTCATTTTTGAATATAGTAGTCCCATTTATTCATTTTTGCTTTTGTTGCTTGTGCTTTTGGTGTCCTATCCAAAATAATCATTGCTAAGACCAATGTCAAGGAGTTTACTCGCATTTTTCTTCTAGGAATTTTATGGTTTCAGGTCTTATACTTAAATCTTTCATCCATTTCAGGGACCCTGGGTGGCTCAGTTGTTAAGTGTCTGCCTTCAGCTCAGATCATGGTCCCAGGGTCCTGGGATCGAGCCCTGTGTCTGGCTCCCTGCTCGGCGGGAAGCCTGCTTCTCTCTCTTCCACTCCGCCTGCTTGTGTTCCCTCTCTCGCTGTGTCTCTCTTTGTCAAATAAATAAGTAAAATCTTAAAAAAAAAAATCTTTCATCCATTTCAAGGTAATTTTTGTGAGTGATGTAAGATAGGGATTTAATTTCATTATTATGCATGTGGTTATACAGTTTCCCTAACACCATGTATTAAAGAGACTATTGTTTTCTCGTTGTATATTCTTGCCTCCTTTGTTGTAAATTAATTGATTATATATGTGTGGTTTTATTTCTGAGCTCTCAGTTTTGTTCTATTGGTCTATATGTTTGTTTTTATGCCAGTACTGTGCTATTTTGATTACTATAGCTTTGTAGTATAGTTTGAAATCATAATCGTGATGCCTCCAGCTTTGTTCTACTTTCTCATGATTGCATTGGCTACTAGGAGTCTTTTGTGGTGCCACATAAATTTTAGGATTTTTTTTTCTATTTCAGTGGAAAGTGCCTTTGGAATTTTGATAGGGATTACATTGAATCTGTAGATCTCTTTGGGTACTATGGACATTTTACAATATTATTCTCATCCATGAGCATGGAGTATCTTTCCATTTATTTGTATCTTCTTCAATTTCTTTCATTTATGTCTCATGGTTTTTAGTGAATAGATCTTTTACCTCCTTGGTTAAATTTA